AGTGGCATTTTTTTTAAATCTTGCACTGCTTGTTAAATGATCTGAATATGTTTTCCCACCAAGTTGATTTATTACTATCCCAAACTCCAGACATGTCCTTTTACAATAATCACTGTATGCATTATTGGTTACTGTAACCACAATGTCAATGATTAGATAATTTAATAAGTTGTGTTTAATGAATTTACTTTACCTCTGTGTCAAGTAATTAGTACACAGTCACCCTCATGCATGGTTGTGTCATTGCAAAGAAATTTAATTAGAGAAGAACTCAAAAGCTACCTGCAGTGGCCAGTAGCCATTAATTTCAAGTATTTTCCTTAAATACTCAGACAAAGTGAAAAAAGGAGAGCTTATTTACCTGACTCCAAAGTCGTAAAACATTTGGAACCAGCAAATATTCAGATTAGAGAAGTCATGTTTTCCCATGAAAAACATGACTTAAATTATTGTTGGCAAATACATTGCCATTTCATTTTCAGGCTAACTGATTAATCAGCTAATCGTTTCAGGTAGACCTGGGAGGAATAATTAAGGTGCATAGTGGGGTTCAAAAGGAGACCAACCGCAATATTTGGCCACGAGGGTCGCCTGGGAGGATGAAGCCGGCCACGGTGCGTCATACTGAGCAAGTTGTTAACAAAAGCAGCATTTTCTAACATTTCTAACACAGATGAGTGGGCGAGGTATGTAACTAGGGGCAAAATGACTTTCAGCAGAGCGTGCTGCTGACAGGCTGTTGTTTTCTTAATTATCAGTTGGTATAGATGTTAACAGAGGTATTGATGGGCCTTAATTGACCATATGGCTGTTTGTTTGTTTAGCTGGAAACTGGCCAGAGACTGCACTGATAAGACAATCATACACACACACTAACACACATGGATGTAAAATGTACTGCGCAGAAACATGAACTCTCTCACACACACACACACACAGGAAGCCAACACAGCATATAATTTGTAGGGGTTCCAGTTTCTAACCACAGGCCATCAGAGTGTGTCTCCCGACATTATCGGCATTATGCTGTGCACTGACATTATTGCTGGCTCTGCTGCTTCATAATCCAGTTGTGTGGTTGTTAGTTGTGTGTGTGTGTGTCGTGCATAGGGGAGTTCCCACCACCTGCTTATTCAAAACCCGACTCAGCCTGTAGGCACTGGGAGTCTGAGAAAAAGCCAATTACATTATTACGCTTTCTCTATTTTTAATCAGATGCCCTTTAACATCCCCTTTCTCTTTGTTCTCATTTGATTAATCCAACATACTTTTTAACTGCAGGTCACGTTTGTTCTTTTAATCCATAATCATTCTTATGTCCTTAGACTGTTAACAAGTTTTTGTTAGTCAAGAAAGGGAGTGGGACGGATTTGAGAATGCCTCCTACAGCTACTTGTAGGCGTTAGGCCGTGCATGATGAATAGCATTTGTCTTTCTTAAAATCATGTACGGTAGTTTTTCTCTTTTTTGTGGGGGGTGGATTGTTAGGAAGCTCCTTTAAAAACTACAGCGTGCAACACACACACACACACACACACGCACACACACGCGCACACACACAAACAGACAAACCTACTGAATGAAAAATAGAGGTCAATTGAAGACACATATTTGATGTGGACAGATTGCAGAGGTCTGTAAAATAAATGCTGAGGATATGGAGCCCAGTGAGTGCCTGGCTTTGGTGAGTGGGAAGACTTTGATGGATTTTCATGTTCTATGATTTCAGAATATTTATGTCCTAAATATCTTCTCATGTTGACAAATAATGTTTTGCTTATTTTTTTAATTATGAAATGTGTTTGAGCAACAGTATTAGAGCATAAATCTCATTTTATTAAAGCTGACTTTTTCCTCATACCTTCCCATACTTTCCATACAGGCAGTCAGATGGAAGTTTGCTTAAAGGGGGAATAACTTTTCAGCATATTATGCCTTACATAGAAAATCATGTAAACAGCTCCCGTATTGTAAGTAACTCTACACGTTAATACGATTTGGGTAGGCATCACACCATATTAATTTCATTGAACGCTGCCAGGTTATTCTGCTGAGGTTCAGCTTGACTTTCAATTGCTCCTAAAATAATTAAATAAAGAAGCAACCCTACCCTAGCCATACTGCCATAATATCTTCCCACTGCTGCAGGACAGGCTTACTGTGTAGGTGAGAAGCAGGTAGGTGCAGTCTGAAGTAGGCCGACGTTGGTGAGTGAGATCTCAGCACAGGTAACATGGAGGCGATAGAGCTATAGGCACACTTTATACTGACAGACAGTCTGGTGAATGTACACGCAGGACTCCAGCCGGTGTTTACTATTCAGCTCCCACATCAAAGTGTAGAAGTATGCTGCTCTGTGTCTCTGGCTTTCTCCTCCTCTCTTTTATGTCTCTTCCATCGTATTCATCTGTCTGTCCTTCTGAGTCTCTCTCTCTCTTAACCTCCCTGTTTATATCTCTCTGACTGTCATCCTGTTCTGTTAGGATCAGTTCTCCGCCGCTAGCTTTCTTGCCGCCACAACCCCCCAAATCCCCAACTCCCTCCCCCTCCTCCAGGTCTCAGAGCCCGAATAACAAGGCAGGGTAGGAGCAGGTGTGCAGCTGGTCAGCTATTGCTGCTGACTCGCATAAATGCTGAAAGGTGAGTAGTGAGCTGCTGGGGTTGAGGAATACAGCTGGCCTCTAATGCTGATGGACCTCCACCTGCTTTAATGTTTGCCAAGAGCCTGGCCAGGTGCTTGGCAGCATATCCACACACAAACACACAAACACAGACTGAAACCAGCTCAGATTCTACACACACACACACACACACACACACACACACACACACACACACACACACACACACACACACACACACACACACACACAGCTACAAACGGACCATGAAACACATATGTGTGTCAGATCCAATAAGGAATCCCAGCTGTGGTAATTGCAGTGCACAGATAGCGAGCTGATGAATTCTGCTGCACATTAAGGTTCAGTGCTGCAGGGAAAAATGATAGTTGTATTTTGTCTGACTCAGAAATAAAAAGGAAAAAAGCTGGGACACTGGCTCCCTCCCATAATTCTCTGCCCTCCCAACTGGAGCACAAATTACTTAGATGAGTCAGGAGGTCAAACCGTTTTCACCTCAGCCTTTACCTCGGTCACTCTGCAGCTAGGTGGCAAGTTTAAGGAGAACGTTCTGCTGCTTTCTCTCTGCTGCCTTCTTTCTCAGATAAATGTTCCCCTGTGAGAACGCCTGTCCCTTTTACAGTCTCTCTTGTCTTTCCCAGGTTTCCCCATGTTTCTCATTTTCCCCCTTTTTTCTCCAGTTTAGTGCAAACACAGTAGAGCAGCACACTCTTTGCCCGCTAAGCCCAGTAGATGGGATGAAAAAATAAATAAATCCAATAAACATAAGCCTCCTTCCCCCTTGACTCTGCTGTCATCTCTGAGATGTTATTTAAGCGCGACGTGGTCGATTTTTCCATTCCACCTAGATGCCCTCACACCCCTCCTTATCCTCCGCGGCTCCCTCCTTTCCTTCCAATATGGATTCGAAATGTCCATGCCTTCTTCACTTACCTTCCGCTCCTCTAGGTTGGGTTACAGAGAAGGGTAAATACGCAAAGGGTATGTGAATAATGCAAGGCGTACATTAAATGTCAGGGCTGAAAATTCACAATTTCCCTCTATTGTCTCGCTGGCATTTGCGGCATGTTTTATGCATTTTATAATTAGTAAGTGAGTCTCAGAGGAGAAGGAGGCCTGGCAGTAACGACGAACACTTATTTCTGCGAGAGGTGGTGTTTTAAGAAGTTACAGAACTTCATTTGAAAGGCAAATCTCACAGCTCCTTGGAGTGGAAGACTATTGCATTTCTTTTTCTCTGAATCAATATCACTGCCAGCATGTATGTATGAGCTGTCTTTATATTCATAAAAATTCACCAAAGGACGATCTTACCAACCAAGTGTCTAAAAGTCCATTTTCCATTTTTAGTTAATTAAGTTGTCATGTGTTGTGATTATATATTATATTTACATGACAGAATGTCTCCTCAGTATACAAACAAAACTTTTTCTCCTGTTTTCCCACAAACACAGTACCAGTCAAACATTTGATCAGCTGATCGTGGTGCAGAGACAACTCTTACTCTATTCATGTTTTCATATGCAAAATGTAATTAATAATTATACTAATATTACTGTAAACCGTAAGATTATTTAGATCTTAACAGACTTTCAGGATATTAGACATACTTGTAATAAAACTGTACCTTACTGGGTACTTAAGAATTCCCAATATGAAACTCATTTGGTCCTGCACATCATTTGCGCTGACGTTTCTATTACAGTTGTTTACATATTCAGACTTAAGTGTTGTAAAATGTTATTGTACAGCCAAGTCGCAACGTGTCCGATGGTATTCTTTTTACTATTGTATAGCTTTTTGGTTTTCTGAACAATATTTGTTCTTCTAGTGCAATGTTGTCTCACAGTGACTAAGCTGTGCAGACTGAAGGAAACAGTAAATAGTGCCCTTTTGGCCTTTTGATGCCAAGAACTTCTGAAACAAAACCTATCCTCTGAAGTCAAAGTCCCTGAGCATTATCCCTGTCATCTGCCTTGTGATTTGTGGGTAGTAGGTATTTGTTAAAATAACCAGTGTAGTGAATATTCCTGTCAAACATTCTACAGAGAGTGTGTAGCTTGTAAGTATTACCCCAGTTTCATATACAGTGTGGCTGTTACATTGAACTAAGTGATATTTGCGTCTGCATTTCCCCATTTTCATAGTAAAAACAACAATACCAACTATTGAATAGTACATTGCACTTGTACACTGTGCATTGCACAGACACATTCACAGACATGCTCAATGGTTGATCTGATTTTCTTGTACCAGTAAACAACTGCACAAGCTGAGAAGATTCTCCATTCTGCAGCTTGACTATGAAAATATCGCCATGGTTTTGCTAACCCCCAATTTTTTTTTTTAACTTTCCAGTACTGCTGATTTAACAGGCAACAGGTACCAACCAGTAACTGGAGAAGTAACTATAGCCTTCCTTCTTTCACATTACTCCAATATATTCAGCTGAGGTAAGATTTTATTCAGATATGCAGTTTAGAAAACCACAAAACACTCGTTATACACGGTAATCACAGTAAAAGAGCTGCTGTATATTTTTACAGTGGTAGCTGGATGACAGTAAGCTACTGTAAAAAAAGTTTTACGTTAATGTTGCAGTATTGTAATTTGCAGCATTATGTTCTTGTTAACAGTATTATTGCTATATTGTCATTTTTAGCATTATTACTGTGTTCTCATATACAGTATTGTTACTTTGTTTTTTGTAAGGTATGGTTCATTTTTAAATAGTACCATACTTTAATACTATGTTTATTTTTCAAAGCTTTTTTAAAAGCCCTGATAGCTTATTAATGGTTTTTTAAACAAAAACAAAAATGGGATATTACAATAGTAGACGGCCCTGAGAGGTCGAATGCGGTGCAACCAAAGAAAACACCACATAATAGCAAAACACACTGCAAAAGCATACAAAACACAATGTAAGGAGAAAGAAGAAGAAAGAAGAGAAAGAAATAAAACCTCACAAATTAATAAAAGGACACAACAGCTGTGGATTGTACTGAGACAAGCTGAAAAGGACACTTACTGTGTTCTTCTCCCCCACAACACCGATGAATCCTCTTCTTTTTTTCAGTGTGTGTCAGTGCAGCATGTTTTTTGTTTTGTGTGCTTTTGAAGTGCTTTTTCTGTTTGCTAGTGTTCTAAGGTTGCTCTGCATGGGCCACAGTATAGAAGCAAAACTACAGTTCTAAAAAGGACACTTTATAATCCACAGAAAAGTTGGCACAGAGATGGAATTACACACAAAAACGGGTTTGTTCAGGTGTCTGTGCAGTTGTGGCATTGTGACTGTGCTACCTTCAACAACAGTAAGTTTTATTAGGAGTGGAAAGATATTTAATCTTAGGCAGATCAAGCTCGCCTCGGTGCAGGCTCTCACATTCAATTAGCAACTCTTATATAGGGAGCTTCTCTAACCTAGCCACAGCTACACAATCCAACTCTAAACCAGCTGCTTCCTTTATGCTATATCTGACTTAATCAGTGTTATATTTGTTTGCACTGATGGTCTGTTGATCTGTTCTTGCTGCTGCTGTGCAAAATCTCTGTGGTCCATCAACAGAAACCAATGTACAGTAGTTTGTAACAAAAATCTGAATTTCACTGCAGTGGTTGTGACTGAACTGTAAGTATTTTCCCCACTGCTCTTTATGCTTACCTGTAAAATCTGTACTATTGGACTGTTCTTTAGTCGGCAGTGGAATAGTTACGTTTGTAGCTCTAACTATATAGAAGAATTTTCCTTTTCTTTTCTTTCTTTCTTTTTTTTTCAAACAGGCACTCAGGCTCAGAATGCTTGACTGACTCGTTTCAACTGGACCTCTCTCAGGACATAAGAAAACAAGAAATCTGGCACACCGGCTTTACCTCTGGGCCAAACGGTACAAGAAACAGCATAAGCAGACTATCCTATTCATCAAGTTTTCATCCTGCTTTTAGTTGTATAAATACGTTCGTTTGACAGATGACTTTGCTAATTGCCTTTTCAAACTGCAGTAATCTCCTGGTGCAGTGGGTGAAAATTAAAAATGCAGTACCCTGAGTATTGTTTTTTCATGTCTAAGCCTGCATTTATCTACGTGAAATTAATTCTCTAATTTGTTTGTGAGATAAACAGGGAATACTTGAGATCCCAATCCACTTAAAGCACCTCCTCCGCTGCTTTACATATCCGTTCTGAAATGCTGATTTGTCCCTAAAGACTCCACCCGGCGGTCCTGCTAGTCATTACCGCCGAAATGAAGAGCAAACCTCGACTCTTTTGAAGGGCACTGTGAAGTCTTTTCAAAGTGTCACCTTAAAGACAGTGTCAAAGCACTCTGCCTTCTCCTGGGCTGAATAAATGAAAGCCACATTAGAAAGAGCTGTTTGGTGTTAGATGCTGGGAAATCACACTTGAACTGCAGTGTGGCCTACACTGCTAATGCCTACGATTCTGTATGGAGGCAGGTGATGACATGCTTGTCCAAACACACAAATCATAAAGAAACTGAAAGCAGTCAGGCATGCCACTGTCGTGGGACTATCCCCATCAGATGCATTACTAGCTTTCAGTCCTTCAAAAAGTTACTATAAAATACGGTCACAGAGTCACAAAGCAGAGATCCATTTCATTTTAGAAGCCCATGTTTCCATTTTCAAGGCTATTTCAAAATAGCTTTTATTTGTACATTAGCTGTGTTGTGAAACCAATCTGTGGTTTTAAATTTCAAATATCAAGTGCTTGGATGACAGCAATGATGCTTTTTTCAAAATGTTTCATTCAGAAATTATTCAAAGCTTGTGAGCGGTGTCTTTTGGCTTGTAATAAATACTTCCATTTTACTGAACTGTCTACAGAAAGGAAGATTTCAGCTAAAACCACATTAGCACCATTACAAAAGCTGCTTTTGCAGAGCGCCTAGCTCTGCAAAAGCAGATTCATTGTGTGGCTCTGTATAATTCATAAAGTATATAAATGAATGGCTAAATGCACAGGCAATAGCACACAAGTGAGAGGCTTTATCCTTCACTAGCTTTTAGACCAATGTTCAACAAGTCAAAAGAAAAAAAAATCAATCCCTTGAAGAAACTGTACAAATACAAAACTGTATTATTTCTTCCTTGCTGCTTACATCTGGTGATCAGTGCAACGGTTTGTTTTACTATGGGATTAAACACATCTTTACCTGATTTCGACTTGTAGCTGATATCACTCACATTTAATATCTTACATACAGCATCCATGATATTGCACTTGTATAATATGCTAAGGATCCTAAATTTCATATCAAGCTCGGGAAACATGTTTTTTCTGCTGAATCCAAATGCTCTTAACGACCAGGCTTTCTCCACACCTTTTCTTTCCACCTCACTGCATAAATGTCACACTCCTTTTTGCATTAACACTGAATCATGGCAGTAAATTGAAATAATATGCAGTACAATAAGGACTTCCTGGGGATAATCCTTATTCCTGTGGATGCAGAGTTTTTGTGCCCTTGGTGTCATACCAGTAATTTAGTTTTGTACCAAAGGCATGCTCAACCCTTTCCAGATCAGAAGGTTTTAAAAAGGATTTTAGTGTCAAGATTGTTCTGAGCTCAAAGAAGCTGCTTAAAGTGGTAACATTTCAAATTGTTGATGCGTCTTCTTTTGCTTATCTGGGGCTGGTCACGGGGGGGGGCAGCCTAAGCAGTGAAGCCCAGACCTCCATCTGCCTAGCCACCGGGGTAACACCGGGCCAGCTGAGAGCGTGTCCTGGGTCTAGGGCAGACCACCAGGTGGAGGCCCAGGGCAGGCCTCCTCCTGGTGGCACATGCCCAGAACACCTCAACCGGGAGGCATTCTTGTCAGATGCCTGCACCACCTCAAGTTTGTGTCAAAGATTATTCCAAGGTTCTTAACCTGTGTTTTCATAAAAAGAGTTTAAAAGCACAGGGTATTGTTTAATCTCTCAACTAACAGTGGGAAGTCAAAAAAATGAAAATGCACTTATTGACCCTTCATATGGAAAAGTGATTTCCAGGTAAATACAGTTTTAAATCATCTGCATAGAAATGAAAAGATATGGTATAATAATTTGACTTAAACTAAGCATGCACAAAGAAAAAGGCTAATTTCTAATGACACTTGGAACTTTCCTCCAGCTGTGTTCACCTCTCCTCTCTTTCCTGACAACCCTAACAGATTCATTAAGCCAGGGATAAGTTTTAAATCTCACTCTGAGTGGTGAGGCCTAATCGAAAGCACAAGTACAGAACACATGAAAAGAAACACTGAGTTCTTGAACACCCAGATTGTGAGCAGCAGAGGAAAGAGCTGTAGTGTTGTAGTGTATCTGTGGAAGAGCTGAACCTCCTACAGTTGTAGGGACCAAAGGTTGAAAACATACAAGTGAGTTAAAACATTATCCACAATTACAGGATGATCTATGTTATAAAACCACATGACAAAACAAGATCAAGGTTAACAGACTTGAATGAGATTAAAAGATTCCCACAGTTGGTTTAGGTGAGTGTTAGTGCTGCAAACACGTGTCCCCCAAAGTGAATCTGCAGTCATACATTCCCTCATAGCAGACAGGTCTGGGCCGGATCTGGTGTCAACCCGGCACTGCTGGCTGACTTCTGGCATGGTAAGAGGTGTGTCATCCAGATATGGGCCAGGCCTGGCTTAGATGGCACTGTTTATGTGACAGCATGCCATATCTGGCCCGATTGTGGATTGGTTTATGTGGCCTAGGCTCATAGAAAACAGGTCTACCCTGGATCTGGCATCAAGCTGGCACTTCTGACTGACTGGTGTCATGGAAGGGTGTCTGTCAACCAGATGTGGGCCAGGTATGGCAATGGAGGCACTATTTATGTTCCTATTTTTCTATTTTAGTTAGAAGACCCAAATGCCATGTTGCAATACTATACGGCTGTGGTAGCCAATGTTTCAAATGCAGGTTTGACAGGTTTGTGAGTGTAAACTTTATCCAAAACCTAGTGAGGATTTACTCATGGTTTCCACTGGGTGGCTGTAGCTGAGGCGGTAGAGCAGATCACCTACTGATCTGAAAAGTAGTAGTTTGATCCCTGGCTTCCCCAGTCTGCATGTCAAGAGTATAAATGTAGTTAGGAAGCACTCAGTTTAGAGAAGGTGTGTGAATGTGGCATGTTGTATAGAGCACTTTGATTAAAATGGGAGAGTAGATAAAGGGGTGTATAAGATTCATTGTCTGAACAGAGCTTTGTCTTGTTCCTTATGCGCTATTATGTTCTTGCACATGTTGTTATTACATGGCTTGATTCAGGTACACATTAGGCTGACATCTGAGGCCAGAGCTGAAACTGTTCTGGGCCAGCAGTGTGTCTGCAACTGGCCTTGTGCTGGCAAATGTGTGGGCCACCACTAGGAAACCAGATCTGGTCCACCAAAAGGCCGTTATTGTTTGCGGGTCACGTGTAAGCACATTGCGTGGGCCAGATCCGGGCCGTACCCGTTTTGCTATGTGGGTTACTATTACTGAGGACAGAAGGTCTGAAAATTAATGTCATGAAGTTTGACCATGTGCACTAATGACTGTTAATGAATGTTAATGATGAAAAGTTTAAACATTGATTTCAAGGAGATGAATGGCTGTCCCTCCCTGAGCCCGGTTCTGCTGGAGGTTTCTTCCTGTTATAAGGGAGTTTATCCTTCTCACTGTTGCCAAAGTGCTTCCTAATTGTTGGAGTTTTTTCTTTGTTTTCTCTGTCTTTCTTGTTCTTTAACTTACAATATAAAGCACCTTGAGGCAACTGCTTTGGTGATTTGGTGTTATACAAATAAAATTGAATTGAATTGAAATGAATCCAGTGTTGAAGTTTTATTCTCACACGAAATTCCACATGCCCTTTTCCACATCTATTTACCAGAAAAGGAAACCGTATGTTTCTGTACCTTTAAGAAGTCGCTAGACTGTTCCTGAGGCCCATTATGGTGTCAAACAAAACAGCACTTGTTACTGTGTGCCAATTGTTCCATCAGGCACTTTTTTCAGCACCCACCAAAGATAGTAAAATCCCAAGAAATACCAAGGATTAAACCAAAAACCAAAAACAAACAAATAAAAATGGAAATATTTTGATATGGAAAAAAACAAACTGTGCATGACTGTTAACAACCAAATTCTTACACCATGCAAGTGTAACGCTTACTGAAATAGTAAAGCTATTATAAAAATAAGTTGATAATTTCCACATAAAAGAAAATTTGTTTAGGTTTAGTGATGTATATATCAAAACTAATTGTGAGATTAATGTGTAGGCATTTAAGCACACTCAAACACTTGTGCATCTTTTGTGGGTTGGATAGCTCTCATAGGTATTGCCGAGGCCTAAAAGAGGGATTGAAATCAGGGATGCATTCTAGCCAGATGTTGAAAAGGTGCAATTTCTCTGTATTAACTCATTTAAACTCAGTTGAAGTAGTATGTCAGAAAGTCCTCTGTTGTCTGTGACCTTTGAAAAATTTGCAACAGGAACTTCTCACACCCATAGTAATGGTGGAAGGCATAACATGCACGTGTTTAAGCATGAGCCCTGATCTGTGTGGATGACAGGAAGACAATAAGGCTTTGCAGTTGCTATGGACATTATTAGTCACACATGCTGCTTTTAAAACCGAACTCCAAGAATGAAAGGTTTTTGGCAATTACTCACCAACCTCTGATCTATTATCACCACCATGTGGACTAAAGGAGTGATGCTGATTTGCTCTAAGGCCGTGAAAACAGATGTTATGCCTTTGTGGTCAACGCAGCTATAAGAGACAGATATAAGATATGTTTATGTGGCCAAGTATATACAGAAGCAAAGGAAACACAATCTGGATTTTGTCCCCATTTAAGAAGAATGACAGTTTCAATTAGCACTGCAGTAAATGCAGTTTCATGATAATTGAACTTCCCTGTATGAGCAACAGCAAACCTCCATTTAGTATTTGATCATGGTTATTCATAATAATTATGTGTGTCTTTAGACATGCAGAGAATATCTTTCATGTCAACATTCAAAGTAGACATGAAAACGCTCTCACTGATTTGATTGATATTAACTTTGTAAACACCACTTAGAGGGGCATTATGCTGCCTTCATAATCACAATATATGGACAACAATGTCTGTCAAGGACAACAAGCTATGAATTAACAGAAATTCCTTCCTACTACAAAACATGTTTCAGCATGCTATCATTTCTCCGTTTCATTCAGGCCAGCGGGAGGTGACTGTCAGAAGAAATGCCGGTCCCAGGTGCCCTAGTACATCACCACTGGGACCATGGCGACTCCTTGGCCAATGAGAAGAGAGAGGTGCTCCCATGGCTCCGCCTGCCTTGCTAGATGGTTGGCGTCATCCTTGATGCTCCTATGGTTGCCGTGGATGTTATTATGGCTGCCGTGGCCTACCCAAGCTGAACAGGTGGGCAGCGGGGGACATGGCGGAAAGGTGCCGCATGGATCCCTTTCGTCCCCCTCATCTTCGTCATCTTCCTCCTCCTCCACATCCCCTTCTGGCTCCTCACCATGGGGTTTTAGCACAAGGCAGAGCGGAGGGCAGCTGGACTGGCTGCTGTCAGAGAAGGGCCCCTTCCACAGGTGTCCTGAGTACACCGAGTTCAGAGAGAGGTTCCAGCAGGGATTTTCTACCAGATACAAGATTTACAGGTGAGAGGGATTTGCACTGGGGTTTTTTAGTGAGACCATTATTCTCTGTCATATCATATAATATGTACAGATTCTCTTTGTCTTCTGTGCAGACAAATAGGTGTGACTTTGTCTTCTTCCTTCCTGCATCTTCATTTTTTTTTAAAATTCCTTTTTTTTTATCTGCAAAGATTTTTGTATCTACCAGCTGTTCTTCTTTTACAGCTCTGTTAAATTACTTCAGCTTGCTGTTCAAATGTTCAAATTTCTTTAAAATGCTGTTCTAAAATGTTGCAACATCGCATGCTCTTGGCTGATGTACTGTGCAGGCAATCACTAGCTCTGTTTCTTCCTTGAAGTGCTCTTTAAGTGGACTATTTCAAAAGTGGATTTTATGTTTTTGTCATTTTATATTGACACAGAATCTTCTCTGCCCCTTTTTTCTATCCTTAGCACTTATCCATATGGTTAAAAAAGTGTTTCAGGGATGCTAGTGACAGAGGTCACCAGTCCATCACAGGGCTAACATGTTCACATTTTCATTCACATCATTTTGAACCAACAGTTAACCCAACACGCCTGTTTTTGAACTTTGCACATGCTCATATCTCTCTTCCTGTGAAAGAAGTGTAAAGTTATTTCACTTCTGCCAAAATTCTCAAAGAAGAAAGTGAAGAAGAAACGTTTTTTTTTTTTTTTTGGATGTACATTTTTTCTTCAGCTGCCTAAGGGTTAGGTGATAGTGAATTTAAAATCCATTTTACTGTTAGCTAGTGCACATTTATGTGTTCTGATTCTCTTGAGATGACCAGTTGACCAGGGTCTTTGAAGGAAAATGTTTCTGGACAATTTTACCCCAGATGATCATGGAGAGATTTTGTTTTTATGTCAACACTCAGCACAAAGTTCATACTAAACAAAAGATTAAATAGCCAAATGCTGACTGAAAAAAATGAAAGGGCATTAACCAATAAAACATATAATCACAATTCATGAACCACTTCAAAATTTCAAGTAAATGGGTGAAAATCAAACTATATTACTAGACTTTCCAGCATCTCTTTATTTTTCATAAAAGAACAGGATTGTGGCCAATAGAAAGTAAACAGAAAGAAAGAAACTTATACTTTTGAACACAGCTAATTATAGCAGATTCGAGTTCTTGCCTCCAGTTTAGACTTTTAATTAGCTAATTAATGTCAAGTGAATGGTTTTGACACATTTTATGTCTTTATCTTGAGGGAAAGTTATTTTAAAGTAAGCCTAGAATGTTGCTGTGATATATTCAGTCTTTGCAAATTTATCGAAACAAAACATGCTCTTAGCTGAATCTGTGAAACAGTGACTAAACATGGATCAGAGGGAATGGATAATGCATTTTATCTGCCAGAATAAAGCAAGCGTTTTTTTAAAATACCGTCAATATAATATCTGAAGATATAAACGAGTAACAGTTCATTTTGACAGGTGGACACATTAAATGAAGCTATAAAAAATTCCCCCCTCACCCCTGTGGGCGGTATACCCTTCAAGCTCAGGTCCTCTACCAGAGGCCTGGGAGCTTGAGGGAGCTTGAGGGTCCTGTGCACTGTCTTTGCTGTTCCTAGGACTGCTCTCTTCTGCACAGAGATCTCGGATGTTGTTCCTGCGATCTGATAGAGCCACTCACCTAGCTTTGGGACTCTGTCTGTCTCTCTCATCATGGTCACTAAATGCACAGTAATGGCAGGTTTGTAATAAGGCAGATCGTGCTAACATAATATGCGCTGTTAGTTGATTATTTACCTGCCGCATTAACGGGAGAGGACGTGCAA